GGGGGGGGGAGTAAAATGCATTCATGAAATGTAAAAAATATAAAAATGACATCCAAACTACGTACAATTATAAAGCAAAGGTTATGCATGCCTAAAATCGAGAGGGAGGGAGGGGGAGTTGGCAGTCAGTGTCAAACCACAATTCTTTTTTTTTTTTTCCAACTCCCAATACTGATTGGTATTTAAAAGAACTATGGGGTAACCTTGTTATCCCATAGTTCCCTTTAGGGTCACATATACTATCGTCCTCCCGTGACCCAAAACTCACTATATAGCAAGCCCACTATCTGCTGAGAGCGCCACAGCCTGGACAGATCCCCCAAAAAACTTTGAGATCCACCCAGCTGGCTGACAGAGGGATCTGCCTATCTAGAAGCAGAGCCAGCTGTGCCCGCCCCCTCCTCCAGTCAGCACTGGAGGATCGGAGAGGGGAATCCCGGCAGGGAGAGGTGACAGACAGTCTCTGCAGGGAACGCCGGTATGTGTTCACTCACTTCCCGATCAATAGAGCCAACCTGTGACAGTTTCAATGTCACACCTCGGCTCTAACTATGGGGATGAGCAATTCACTCCTCATAGTTCTCCTTTAACAACTTGCTGACCGGGGTGTTTACACCCCCTTCCTGTCCAGGCCATTTTTCAGTATTCAGCACTGCGGTACTTTGACATTTATTCCGTCATGCAGCGCTGTACTGAAATGAATTTAATACCATATTTTGGGGACAGATAGAGCTTTCTTTTGGTGGTATTTAATCACCACTGCGGTTTTTATTTTTTACTAGAATGAAAAAAGTACTGCACATTTTGGGGGGAAAAAAAACAATTTTCCCTACGTTATGTTATAAAACATTACCCAAATATTTGGCAAAATATAAAAAACAAGGTCACGTCGGGTAAATAGACACCAAACATGTCAAGCTTTAAAATTGCATGCGCCCGTGAACTCGCAAAAACTACCATACCCCAAATTGCCCATAAGCAACGCTTTAAAAGCTTTAACCGCTCATCAGTTTAGTGTTATCAGTTATTTATGCCCCTAAAATTATTGCTCTCACTGCGACGTTCGCAGCGATATGTAAACATGTGCAGCGTAATGGATGCAATCGTTGTTTCCGCACGTTGGCGCACTCGACACATGTTTGCATGTGTATGTGGTGGGTGCGGGGGACTTTAAAAAAAAATTTCTTTTTTTAAATTACCTTTATATGTGAAAATTTTTTTTTTTTAACTAATTCTTTTAAACCTTTTTTTTTCACTTAACTTTATTGCTAATCACATAGGGGACTAACAAGTCCCCTTTGTAATAGCCAATTTTCTGTGACAGGTCCTCTTTATGGAGACATCAGGGGTCTTTAAGACACCAAGTGTCACCTAGGGACCCCCAGAGAAGCTGATGAAGCAAACACCTGCTTCACCAGCTTCTCTCCGGTTTCTGTACTGGAGAGTGACAGAGGAAAGTGGAAGTGATGTAATACACATCACTGCCTGCATTCAGAAGAGGAGGAGGAGAGCAAACGGAGATCGTGTACTGATCTCCT